CATTGTACACGTTTTGTTGCTTTTGTGCGTCAGTTATGGAAGCAAATGATGGTAATATTTCCACTGATGCATATCTAACAAACTGATATGAGCTACCACCTTTCTGCAGGGAAGAGGAGGGAAAGAGATAGTAAAGGAGGAATGAGGAACACTCCTGTCTTTAAAACAAAAAAGAATCAGCTTAAACTTTAAATGTAATAAAATTTGGGGGGGGGAGATTTTGGAGCCAATTTTCAGAAAATTAGAATATTTTGAAAGTGCCAACAATAAGGTTTCCAACAGGATCTTGGCATAGTGTAAAATAACTCAGAAATCTGGCCAAAGACCATAATACAAAGAGAATTCTGCCTTTTAATATTTTTTCCTGATACATATACATGTTCTTTTGTTGTTTAGCAAGTTTGAGCTGATTCTGATCAAAAAAAGATTTTTTATGAATTTTTAAAGATCCCCCAAATGCCAAGTACAGTATTGTAGTGTAGTGCTTGTCAGCTCATGATTAGCTCCATTAGCATGCTTTGTGGTAAACCCTGAGCATAACTCAATTTAAAATGAATGTCTTACCTTACAATATTTGAGTGCTAATCTAAAACAAGTGATAAATCTATCGATAGCTTCCGGCCCTTCAGACTGTGCATCAAATAAAAAAAGGGCATTAAATAGAAACCGGGCACTAAATAGAATAACCCACCTGAAAGTTACCGTCAAGCTCGGCCTGTTCGGCAATAACGTCAATAATAACGTTAGCACCTTCGGGCGATTGTAAATGATGTAATTTACCTAAAACATCTACAAACGTCTCAAACTCTGCGGCTGTCACATCACCAAGTACCTAAATAAAGGAGAGGAGGGCATTAAATTTAAAGTATATACTCATATATATATACATAGAAATTTTCCAAATTTTCTTTTATAATAATTATATTATTTATTAAAATTGGTGCATGTATATTAAAGTTTATGCAGTGGACCAAAAATGTCAAAGAAATAAAATTAGACACTGCAAATAATTTCAATTGAAATTTGGATCACTTGTTACCTTTTTAACAAGTTCAAGTAGACATTTTTCATTTTCTTCTTTGGGTATGAAGAGAACATGCCTCATGTCCATTAGAGGGACTGACACATACTCAATGGCTTTCTCTCTCAGGGTTTCATCTTCTCCTAATATCTGATCAAATATTCCAATTAATGCACCTTTGAAAAACAAGAAAAAAGACAAATCAATAATATTGATTATAAATGAATTTTTGTGAATAATTAGTGGGTGTGGTCTTCAGTGCTAATTATGTCACCATGGTAACATTAGACGGTAATTCCAACTAAATTAACTCATCACAAGATCAATTCTACTCCCTCCCTCCTCACTCTCTCCTCTCTAATCCTCTTACTGGGTGTGTCATGAATCAATATGGTTGACATTGCTGATTTAACTAATATTACATCAGCTGGATCATCTGTAGAAAGAGAATTATCATTATCATCATCATCATCATCTTATGATTGAACTATGATTTTACATGTAGGTGTCAATATGCTCTTTTCCCTTTTTCTCTAACATTAATAATTAGCAATAACTACTATTACCTGATACTAGTAATTGTGTGAGAACATCAGCTACTTTAGTACACAGGTCTTTATTACTTTTATTATTTTTACATAATTCAGGTAAAGACTTAATTGCAGCTTGCCTTACCTAACAAAAATAAACACATGTAAATTACTGTATGACATGTATGTACATAAATGTGAATTACCATACTGCATGTATTTTATTTTTATTTTACCAGGGATTCGTCATCCTCCACAAGATCAAAGAGAACGTTCATGATGTCTCCTTCAAGTGTTGGGAAAAAACGAGCAAATTTAGCAATAAAACCGGACACAAGCCGCTTCACTGCCGCGGAGCCTTTGGCACTTTCCAATAAACCCAAAAAAGCTTCTGTTTGCTAGGAGAAAATTATGTAAAAATATAAAAAGTGGGTGGAACAGGCATTAATTAGAATAATAAATTTAGCTCATCTATCTCTCTGTACAATAAAAGCTATAATTTAAGTAAATCCACTCTCTTACTTCTCCAGCTTTATCCCCAGCGTCTGCCAAGATGCCATAATTCCTGTAAAGAGCCTCTACTCCATCGCCCGCCATTATCACAGCACGTGGTTTAATAATAGTTATGAATTAATGGTTAATGCCATGGCAACCAACGCCCACTCAGTGGTGGTGGGTGTGGCTGGGCGCCAATAAGATCAGCTGGAAGCAGTGATACGATACCTGATAACTTGATAAGCATTAAGCAGTTGAGCATAAACTTCTTTTAGTTTTACAGCTATGGCTGACAGTGCTTGCTCTGGTGCTCCAAGAGGTAGTTAAAGCTCTCTCTATTTTTTAGAAAACTCCCAGCTTTTGCTTTATTGATTGATTCTTTTAGATCCCCTCAAGGAAGACATGCACTTACTGTTGGAGTGCATAACTTGCAAGCCACCTTGCACCTCTTCCCAGAAGCAAGCTCTGACATTAATGGCAGATATGTACTTAATGGAAGATGGTCAGTGAAACAAATAGCTACATGATGTTGATTGCTTAAAGTAGATAATGCAAGGGAGATTTTCAGAACAGAAGGCTTCCTTGAAGCAGTCATTGATCTCTTAAAGAATACGGCATCTTTAGAAGTGAAACAAGCTTGTCTTTGCACGCTAGCCTGTGCTACTGACAATAATGGTAGGCTACTGTAATAATGCTTATGCTTATACTCATGGCCATACATTATTAATTGCCTTCTCTAGTCAATACACAGATAAGACTTTGCAAAAGTGACGTCTTCACATTACTGTATTCACTATTGAGATCCAGTGAGGGTACTTTGAGGCTAAGATCAGGAACTGTCGTACTATTGGCCAACATAATGAACAATAACAGTAACTAACAATTATACAAGTACAGTGTAATAATAATCATTATTATTATTATAGGTCAAGGACAAAAGATGCAAG